TTTCAAACCCATTCCTTGAACCCAAACTGAAGCAGCAAAAAGAAACATATACTTTTTAAATTTCTCTTTAAAATCCATTGTGCAAACCATTACTCACGTATTGCTAAATTTCAGAGGTAGTTTCCTTTGTGTTTTCTCCTCATATCGCTTAGATAAAAGGCTTAAAAATTCTGTTTTGAAGATGGATTCAAGCAAACTATCATATTCCTGCTCATGCAGAATGAACATATCATCCTGAAGTGTGCTGTAAAGAAATTGGACCACAAATCATTCAGGCAACAAAAACATTCTTGTGCTTTAATAGAATTTGAAAGGCAATCATTATGACTTTAATAATAAAGAACAAATAACTGAGCTCTGTTTTTTAGGTGATGTATTTTTGTGTGTGCAGCTGATAATGGAATCCCCAAAATAATCCCCACATGAGATATCTGATTGTGAATTGGTTTAAGTTAATTATTGTTTTATGAAATGGGAACATGGGCTACAATTAAAAACTCATATCCTTAACAACAGCAAAGCTGGTGATTAAAACTGAATTTGTAGTATGCTGTGTAAAGTTTAATTAAAACACTGAAAACAAACTTCTTCAAATGAGACTGACACTCAGGCTAATAGAAAAAAGCAAATACATTTTAAATGAAGGTTCCCAGTCCTGTGCTGCTTTGCCTTGGACTTCAAATACAGCCTCTGGCAGAGTCCTCCTCCATTGCCATTAGTGAAACAATGCTGACTTAAACCAGGTGCAGATCCTGCATGCTGCTTCATTCAGACACATACAGTAGAGGTGCACTGATATATCGGTCCATATTGTATTGGCACCGATAAAAGAAAAATTGATATTATTGGCAATTGGCTTTTTTGGCTAAGTGGCCAATAATTTCACTGATAAATGCAACGTAGATGTGTGCAGCTGCAGCATGAATGCATCCAGGAATGCAACATGGCAGCTTGGAGAGCAGTGTCCAGCCAGTAAGTCTGTGGTGGGGAAGGGGTATGGTGGGGGGGCCTCATTGGGGCCTCCATGGTCAGGGAGGGAGTAGGGCTGGGGCAGGCACCGCCCAGCCGGGGCAGGGTAGGGTGCAGGATGGATCTGTGGGTGGCTCATCCGGGGGGGGGGGACAGCTCCCCCTGCTGTGTGCACCTCTGGAGGAGGCACAGAGGCATGTGCCCCCTGGATTTGTGAAAGGGTAGGCTGCCCTCTGCAGGCTGGGGACCACACCGGCCTCT